GTCATTGGAAGTTCCATACCTGCAGAGGATTCTTTTCCTTCTTATCCCACACCTTCCTGTTTACCTTGACTGAGCCCCCACCCCACCACCCCTACAAAATCAAACCAACAACAACAACAAAAACTTTGGTCCACTTCGGTTCTTCTGCCTTGGTATGAGCACAGCCTGGCCAAGTCAGTTGGGGCTAGAACTCAGAGAATGGGCCCAGAACTCCCAAGAACCCAGGAGAGACCACCCCCCACCCGGAGTCCTCTGGCGACGAGCCGCGGGCGATGGAGCGCAAACATCAGATCACACGTGGCCAGCCCTCGGGCAAGGCGTGTGACTACAAGGGCGCTGCGGCGGCAGAGGAGACAGCCTAAGGCCGCGGTGGCTCTGCGAGGGCAGCGACACCGCGGCGGCCAGCAGACGGCGATCGCGGCCCGTGCGATGGCCGGGCCAGCGCAGACGCGCCGCCGGGCCTCGGGGCCGGATCCGAACGGCCTGCCGGTCCCCCCTCCACCGCCTACGGTAGGCTGGGGGGAGGAAACCCAGCCTTGAGCCACCGCTGTGGTGGCCCCTGCAGCCCCACGGCGCTCCCCCACCCTCACACCATCTCCTCCCCCTCGCCCTCCGTCTGTGCCTCCTGTTGGCCAGGTGACCTCAAAGGCTTCTTCCAACTTGAACTGTTCTTTTGCTCTCCCGCTCTTGCTTTGCTCCTCCTCCTTCAGATTACTCTTTTCTATCAAAAACTCTTGAAAACTGGCAGCTAGTTGCCTGTCTCTGTGGTCTCAGTTCTTTGGGGGCGACACCAGAGCCCGGAAGGTTGCCAGATCCGGAGAGGCGCCTCCAGTGGCCTCCATCCTTCAGCTGCCCCAGCAGCCCCTGGAGTGGTCATGGTCTGGGCATGTGTCCTTGGAGGGTATCACCAGAACAGGCAGTCTTTGCAGGACGTGGAGTGCCCCCCAACTCCCCTCCTGTCCATCACTCACSCCTCTAGCTTGGAGCTTGTGGCTGATGCTGAAAACAGAAAAACCTTCTCTAGATTCTTGAAAGCTTGCTTTCATGTGAAGATTGCTGGGGGCAGGGGATTTTGTCCACCAGTACCCTCTCTGCTGCCCAGATTTTTCATAAGCACAACAGGGGTGAAGGGGAGCAAAAGCTAAATGTGTTTATTACTCCATATAGCAATTTGAGATAATGGTATTTAAGTCCAGAACTCAATTTATTTGTAAGGACTCTTGTGCGATTGCTTAAACACACACGCGTGCACACACACACGTGTATGTTTTAGGTGTGCATAGTCACATATAAATATGCATATATATGTACATAATTTCTTCTCATGACATATTGGGTCTGATTTTTGAGGATTATAACCACAGGTTAAATTTTTAAAAAGAACTTTAAAATAAAAAATATCTTAATTCTCATTTCTAAGTTCATTTTCTTGGCATTTTGAGCAGAAGCACTGTGGAATGAGTTGCCAGAAGAGCAAATTTGGTCAATCAACAGTGAAACTAATCCTTTGCCTTGGGTTCTGGACTTTCTCTGACGTTGCTTGGAAGTAGTATAATCTGTCTTCAAATCCTCAAGAATCTGGCTTTGGGGAAGGTTTTCAGCTGGAAGGAGGTTCCTGCTAATCTGGTGGAGGTAGGAGGCAGACTAAACTGGTTCTGGACTGTTTTCTCAGTTTTTGAAGAGTCATTTGGGAGAAGGGGTGGGAGCAAGAAAACCCAAAGCCATCACTGGTAGGAGTTAACATGATGCTCCTCAATTTTCATGCCAGGCACTAGGAGGTCTGGCATGCAGTGCCCTGCCACTGCCTAGTTGACATAGGCTGCCACTGCCAATCATCTATCACTTGGCAACAAGTTACACCTGCAGCTGTGGTTTAATACTTATGCAGGTGGGCACCCATAGGGTATGCACCCACTTGGGCTTGGGACTATCTCATCATTGAAAGAGCTTATGGAGGGCACCCTGAATGATAAGCACTAGCATGATCGCAAGTAACTCGAAACCGTTCACCTCCTGTTTAGATGCTCTAGAAAACAAGGGTAACATCGTATTTGGAAACAATTTTCAGAGCTATGGTAGAAAGAAATGAGACCATTTCAAAGTCAGCTATCCAAGTTCCCAAAAGCATAAAGCATTCCTGCAAAGCACACTGGAGTGCAGGGTGTTTATAAAATAAATTGCTCCATTGATATGGAAAATAATGTGCCAAGCTTGATTCATACAAAGCATTTTCAGGGGGTCTTCGGCTATTTAGTTTAAAATCTAAATTGAAAAGCAGAGGAAAGAAATCTTTCAATTGCTAAGTGGATAATACAGTTTATAATTTGTAAACCATTTCCTTTATTTCAGTCTTGCTGACTTCTCCTAACACACTGGATCTCACTGCACACCCATCGCCTCCTAAATTATCAAAGGAAAAATGGGTCTATAAGAATTCTTAAACAATATTCCTGTTCCTTTTTTGTTCATTCACAATGTAACTGATATTTGTAGGTAGTGCGTGAAACAAATCAAAAGATTTAACAAACTTGATTGCTGAAATAAGAAGGTAGTTGAAAACCACGTTTATAAGCCAGATATTTAGTGAAAAAATATGAAACGATGTTTCCTTTCTAATAAAATTATACATCATTTGATGAGTTTACGATTAAATGCTGAATGGCCTGAAATGAAAGCAGTTTAATCTGCAGAGAGATCAATTTGCTGTTGCACTGCATACTGTAGCAACCCTACAATAAAAAAAAAAAAACTACAGTAATAATCATAGTAGTTGAGAGAAAAGAAGGCATTATTCCTGTACCTTGAACAAGCCATAAGGTCAGGAAATTCACAATCTGAGGGTTTTTTTAAATATTAAAAAAGAGAAGTGTCACATGATCACTGTGCAACATGTCTAAACACCCTTATTACTACTAGTATCATCACCAACATCTTGAGTATTTCTGTTATGGAAGGGTGAGTCTGGAGGCATTTGGCTAAAGCCCTAGTTTACCCACATCCATCTCCTCAAGCACCCTCATCTCAAGTTGCCTGTAGAAGACGCCTTGCAATTCCCAGGAATGGCAAGAGGAGGAAAAGAGTTCAGTGGATTCTTTGGAAAAAGTCCTCAGCGGCCTGAGCCAACAGAGTTTGAGGCTGGGTTTGGAAATCTCATGTGCATCCCGGAATCACACACACTTTGAGGTTTAACAATTACAACCGCAGGTGGATGCCTTAATCATTCCATGAGCCGGGGGGCCTTCCTTTTGCTTAATGTAAGAAAATGGTATCTGGCCACGGGTCACGAGGCCCCACCTTTTGATTCAATTCGAACAGCTTGGCAATTCTCAAGCCAACAGCTCCTGGGAGACTCGCTCCAGAACAGCGTGGGCTAGATCACTTTTGCGATATCAACAAACTTTTTCAACTGTTGGAGTAACCAGATTCCAGATATATCTTATGGTTACTGACCTTCTAAGAGACTGAAGAGAAGGACGTTAAATGGGATGAGTACCTGCCTATAACCTCCAAGCTCACTGGAAAAATGGAACCCGGTCCCCTATATTAAACGAAGCTGTGAGCCACGAGCCATACAAATGCGCCCCCAGTTGCCAGAACTATGAGGCCTGGACTGTAAAGGCCTTCGGGGAGAGCAGGGACTGGCCAACTCCGAGCGAACCTAGAAGAAGCATGCATTGAATTCGGAGGGTGGGAGCGACTGAGCTGCCCGACCTTGCAGGAGAACTTGTGGGGAGGGCTTTCAGTTTGTGCCCCCGGGACGGTCGCCCCTGTTCGCATCCTTTTCTGCACTCGGCATGAGCTTAGGCGAGGTCTTGGCCTCGGTCTCCCAACTTTCTCTTTCCCTGCCGGCGCGACTTGGCTGGTGGGGACAGAGGAGGAGCTGGGTCTCCAGTGAGCACATTTAAACACGGCCCGGGGCTGTATCCCCCCCCCCCCCCCGCGCCCCGCACCACACACACAACGATTCTTTCTTTGGGCTTTTAAGCCCAATCGTTAATCATTCTGAGCGCGCGGGCGGGGAGAGGGAAGGGGGGCGAGATCGGGGTTCGCTGTCGCCGCGGCGCGCGCACTCAGGAAGCAGTGGGGCTGTGACCCCCCCTCCCGGGCCTCCTTTCCCCCCTCCTTCCTGCCTTGCTCCCCCCTCCTTCCTTTCCTTCTCCCCGCTCCGMCGCCCGCGCCCAGTGTATCTACTCCCTCCCCACGTCACTCGCCAGCGCGCCATGCAAATCACCGCCGCCGCCGGCTCCTATTGGCCGCGGCGCGCTCATTTAATGGCAGCCCGGGCCCGGCGTATGGCTGCTGGGCCCCGCGCGCCGCCGGCCCCGCGTGCGCCTCCGCTCCGAGCAGGCAGCGGGCAGCCCGTCCTGGACTCTGCGGCCCGGCTCCCTGGCTTCTCTGCGCGCTCTCACTCCTTCGCTGTTCCAGACCCCCTCCCTGGCTGCAGCGTAATCGCCCCCTCCGGGCCCCCCTCTGTTCCCCCCTCGGCGCCTGGCTCCCCCCGGGCAACTGGGACCCGCACATGCCCAGCGCACGCGGCGTGCCGCCCTGCTAGAAGTTGCGGCCCCGGAGTTGGAGGCCGCCGAGGACTGAGCCAGGAGGAAGGAGGCAGTGCGCGGCGGCGGCGGGCAAGGAGGCACAGCGCACCCCGGGCGGGMCGAGAAAGTGAAGCCGCAACTTGGCCACGACTGCACCTGTTTGAACACTCCGCCGAGGGCGACTGGGCTGCGGCGGCGGCGGTGGCGACCCTAGCCGTCGGCCTCTTTGGCAAGTGGTTTGTACRCGAGGAGAAACTTTCCACCTGCAAGTGGAGCCGGCACTGAGTGCGTGTGATTTTGCCTCTTTTTGTTGTCGTTACCTCCACCCTCCCGTTCTTTTCTGTGCTAGGCAAACCCCCACCCCCGCGTCTGGCTCGGTTTGAGCCACTGTCCATCTCACCCCCACCGGCCGTCTATGCTCCAGGCCCTTTCCCCGCGGTGCTGGTGAACCCGCGAGCCGCCCCGATGTACAGCATGATGATGGAAACCGACCTGCACTCGCCCGGCGGCGCCCAGGCCCCAACGAACCTCTCAGGCCCGGCCGGGACAGGCGGCGGGGGCGGAGGCGGCGGCGGGGGCGGCGGCGGGGGCGCCAAGGCCAACCAGGACCGGGTCAAGCGGCCCATGAACGCCTTCATGGTGTGGTCCCGCGGGCAGCGGCGCAAAATGGCCCAGGAGAATCCCAAAATGCACAACTCGGAGATCAGCAAGCGCCTGGGGGCCGAGTGGAAGGTCATGTCCGAGGCCGAGAAGCGGCCGTTCATCGACGAGGCCAAGCGGCTCCGCGCGCTGCACATGAAGGAGCACCCGGATTACAAGTACCGGCCGCGCCGCAAGACCAAGACGCTGCTCAAGAAGGACAAGTACTCGCTGGCCGGGGGGCTGCTGGCGGCCGGCGCTGGCGGCGGTGGTGCGGCGGTGGCCATGGGCGTGGGTGTGGGCGTGGGCGCTGCGGCGGTGGGCCAGCGCCTGGAGAGTCCGGGCGGCGCGGCGGGCGGCGGCTACGCGCACGTCAACGGCTGGGCCAACGGCGCCTACCCTGGCTCTGTGGCGGCGGCGGCAGCGGCCGCGGCCATGATGCAGGAGGCGCAGCTGGCCTACGGGCAGCACCCCGGCGCGGGCGGCGCGCACCCGCACGCGCACCCCGCGCACCCGCACCCGCACCACCCGCACGCGCACCCGCACAACCCACAGCCCATGCACCGCTACGACATGGGCGCGCTGCAGTACAGTCCCATCTCCAACTCGCAGGGCTACATGAGCGCTTCGCCTTCGGGCTACGGTGGCCTTCCTTACGGCGCCGCCGCCGCCGCCGCCGCTGCCGCGGGCGGCGCGCACCAGAACTCGGCGGTGGCGGCGGCGGCTGCCGCCGCGGCCGCGTCGTCGGGTGCCCTGGGTGCGCTCGGCTCGCTGGTCAAGTCGGAGCCGAGCGGCAGCCCGCCGGCCCCGGCACACTCGCGGGCACCTTGTCCTGGGGACCTGCGGGAGATGATCAGCATGTACTTGCCTGCCGGCGAGGGTGGCGACCCGGCGGCGGCCGCGGCGGCCGCGGCGCAGAGCCGGCTGCACTCGCTGCCGCAGCACTACCAGGGCGCGGGTGCGGGCGTCAATGGCACGGTGCCCCTGACGCACATCTAGCGCCGCCGGGATGCCCGGGACAGAGGCTTGCTACGGGCGACCCGGCTACGACGAGCGCACGGCCAGCTCTCGGGCTGTCGCCCCGGTCCAGCGCGGCCTTGCTTTTGTACAGACGTTTCCACATTCTTGTAAAAATGAAAACACTGGAGATGAACACCAGGTGATACATGCCCCTCACTCACCTTTCCAGGAGCTCCTGGGGACCACGAGACGCTGACACACGTCTTGCATTTTAGACCGAACTTTGGTGTTTTCTCGAGAGTTTTTGTACAGTATTTATCATCCACGGAGGAGGCAGAAAGTGTTTTCTCTGCTCSAGGGGACAAAAAGACAAAACCAAGCGAGAGGCGATGCCAACTTTTGTATCCAGGCCGGCGCCCTAACTTTCCTCCCTGCATCGCTTCCTGATGCTTGACTGCCCGAGGCCAAGTGACCGAGAGTTGTTCTCACTTGTTACAAATGTAGTAAGGCAGATCCAAACATTTACAAGTTTTTTTGTAGTTGTTACGGCTCCTTTGGGTTGGTTTGTTAATTTATACAAAGAGATCMCCCTTCAGATGGCGGAGTTATATTCTGGGTTTTGTAAAACTTTCTGTATCTGAGCATTTCCATTTTTTGGTTTTGTATTATTTCTTGTAAATGCATTGTGAAATTTTTATTTAGGCGTTGCAGTGTGGAGAGGAGGAATCAGATCATGTACATAGTTTCCTAAAAGCTTTTCTTCTGAAACTGAAAAAAGATTCCCCTAAAAAAATGCTTTGAGTTTTGAGTCAATCAATACATTTAAAAGAGAAAATGCTGTTTTTTTTCCATAAAATTGAAACGTGCTAATTTTATATGCATGTTTTAAGAGTTCAAAATACAATAACTAATCTGTTGGAGGAGAAAAATTTTCAGCAGGAATTAAGAATGAGGGAACCCCAGGAAGCAGAGGGTAGGATGTCCACGAGCTTTATTCCATGGAAGGAGAGAAAGTTAAAGTCAATAGAGGATTTTGTTGAGTTTGAAGCATTAGTAGGGAAGATAAATAATTCCCTTTATGGTCTAGCTCTTTTACTGTCATGGCTCAGAGATACTGCATGTACTTGCTGAGAATTCTGCCGTTCTACCTGGCAGGGCATCTGCAGGACAGTTTGGTATGATGGAGGATGGAGAAAGGGAAGACCCCAATGTGGAGAGCAGGCCCATGGTGGGGGAAAGGGGCCTGGCAAGGGCTTGGCACCCGCAACTACCCTGCAATTCGGATTGCAAATGGAATTTATCTGAATTTGATTCAGAGAAGCACTAACCGGTTTACGGCTGAACCAAAACACACTACCCCTGAGCCCAGGCTCCATCCCCAGCCCCTCCCGCCGCAGCTTGTCCCTCCTCAGGAAAAGGCAAGATGATTTGTTGGATTTTCACATGCACACAAATGGAACACCCCCTCCCCTTGAGAAGGGGATGCAAGTTGCCAACTGATGTGAAGGCTTTTTCCGTGTTTATTCCTGACAAGATCTTGAGGTTGTTTGATGCTTTAAAATTTTTAATTATATTTTTTTCTAGGTGTTTATTGGTACATTGCAGTTTTTTTTCTGGAATTTAAAGTTTTCTGTAAAACTTTGTCTTCAAGTAATCTGACAGCATTAAATATTGCATTTAAAAGTTATGCTGTAGCAAATATGTTTTGAAATTAATCATAATAGTAAGATGAAAATCTATTTTTGGAAAAAAAAACACCTTTGAGTCCAAATGAGAAATATGCTAATTTCAGCAGCTTTAGGCTTCTCCCCTATTTTTTTTCCTCCATGTCTTTTCTTGTCTTGGAATGAGTACGCTCTATCTATTCAGAAGTGGGCCTGTGCTATCAGTTTAGTGAGAATTGGATTCAGCCTGCATTGGAGAATAGCTTTAAGTATGATGCTAATCTGACAATTGACATGTGTAATTTTTTKAGTCATTTTGATAATTTTGCTTAAATCACATTCGTTAAAGATGATTGCAAAAAAATTCAAGAACAATGTCCACTGCTTTCTAACAAGATAATAAAAGTCCCCCCTTTTTTTCCTTTCTTCACTTTTTTTTTCCTCTTAAGGATTTATCTTTTGTGAAACAGTCATTCCTAAAAGTGTTTGTGGGCTACATGGATTGTTGGGGGATCGGCACCGTGAGACAGTCCGGAAACAAATGCCAAAAGCAATCCCTGTGGGAGGTGCTTTGGGAAATTCTGTAATTTGGGAAATCTGTTAATTCAGCATGGAGTTCTGAGGACCAGGCCAGGTTTGCCCTGAGGTGCACTAAAAGACTAAAAGATCTTTCTCATATTCTTTGCTGACTATGGCAAGTAGTCAGTGCACCACCCTTGTATCTTCCACCAGAGACACGGAGACATCTCGTCCTAGCTGCCCTCCATAGAGGTAGTGTCCATGTGCCTTGGACTGTGGGCATCTGTCTTGGCTCCTCACATATACTAGTTACTTGAGCCCCACTTTAAAGCTGCAGAATAGAAAAGTTTCGCCACTGCACTGGGAGCACCAGGCCAGGCTGCCCTTGCTTCCTGCAGGATGGCCTTGAGTTGGGCGTTTCTTTGCTGGTGCTTCATCCATCCTCCATTGGGATATTCAAAGCCAGATCCTCAAACCACCTTAGTTTCTTTTTGTTCTTTTGATTAGAGTTACAGGGAGAAAGGCAGATATAAATTCTTTAATGACTTAATTTAAAAACCACAGGAGGTGGAGGAAGAGAGATTAGCAGGAATTCAAGTCGGGGCTCTAGTGGACTCACCCTGACAGTCCCTAGCAGTGGAGGAGATATTCCACTAGGACCCAAGATGTCTCATTCAGCTGCGATTTCCACTCCTGCCCAGGTAATACTCATCGTTGCCAAACGTGAAATACTATATGATGATGATTATTGTATGATGACTTAATTCATTTCCAAATCACAGGGTGGTTTCTGTCGCTTACTCCAATTTTCTTTGAAGCCCGAGTAGAGAATGAATGGATCTTTCTAAGGCCTGGTACAAAGTTTTCTTAACTTGGTGACTTCTTCCTACCCCTGGCCTTTGGGAAGAGGCCAGGCAGGACGGTGTGCCTGCGGGTCTTTCTTTCTACCTTGTTTTGTTTTTCAATTCACTGGCCCCTTTGTTATTGTTGTTAAGAGGTTGACACCCTCCCTCAAAAAAAAAAAAAAAAACAAAAAAACCAAAAAAAAAAAAACACCAGTAGCTAGATGAATTAATTTTTTTAACAGTTGCTGGTGCTGCCGCGCCTGATCTGCAGATGTGTCGGGGAGTGTGACTGATAGGTCTATTAAAATCATGCATGTGGGAGAAGAATAACACTCATATTCACGCATTTCATTTTCCCCACAAAGACTGGGCACCGCAGATCTCTGTCTCCGAAAATTCCAGTTAATTCGATCAATCTGGCCTAAGAAGCATGCTCCGGGGAGGCGCGCTGCACCTCGGCCCGGGCCCAGCCCACGACCCACGGTCCGGGTGGGCTACGCCGGCTCCCGCCCCTCCCCCCGCCCTGCTTCCGCAGCCTGGCGCGCGGAGCCAGTGCTCGGGCCGCGTCGGCGCGGAGTCTAATCATAGGTTGAGTCCTTGGAAACTTCAAGTGAAAAGCAGACGTGGCCTTGGCGCAGCTTTCTTTCAGCGTGACTATTTGGCGGGATTGAAAGGCCCAGCCAGATGGGGAGGGGTGAGGGGGCGCAGGCCCCGGCGCTAGAGCGCCCCAGGCCCGCAGAGTGGGGCGGCCGGGAGGTGGGCACGCTGCAGACTCATCCCGGCGCTCCACTCCCTCCCGGAGCCGGGCCTGGGGACCGCCCCCTCAGTCCCAGGGCGAGGCCCGGCGGGGGGCTTGGCGCTGGCACCCCTCCCCCTCCTCCTCGCTCGCGGCCTCCCTCCTCCCAGCGCCCCTCCTCCCTCCTCCCGCCCCCGTCGTTCCTCTCCAGCTGCGAGCCCGCGGGACCCCGCTCCGCCCGCCCCCGGGAGACCGGCGAGGGCAGCGCGGTGGCGGGAGGCGCCCTGCTGCCCGGGTGCCGGGTCCCGGACGCCTCGGGGCAGGGTGCGGGCTTCCTGCGGGGCTCGGGCCTGGGCCCGCTGGCCCTCCACCCCGCGGTGCCTCCCTCTTCGCAAGTCCCTCTTCCTCGCGCTCTGCTCTCGCAGAAGCCCGGAACCCAGCGCTCTCTCCTTCTCATTCCTGCGCATTTTCTTCCTCCCACCGCCCGCACCATCCATTCACTTTCACTTCTGGGTTTCCCCCGCTCTCTCTCCCCTCTGCTTCCAGGGCCGCCGCGGTCCCTTCACTTTCCTTCTGTGCGCTGCCGGGCCGCCTTTGTCTTTGCCTCGCCCAGCCAGGCCGCGCTCCGCTCCCCTCGTCCACCCCCTGCAGCCGGGACGCCCTGTCCGAGGCCGGGTCGGGCAGGTGCCTGGGAATGGCCGGTCCCCGTTCCCTCGCCGCATCCCTGCGGGCCGGGCCGGGCCGGGAGGGCCTCGGGGTCGCCGGAGCGGCCTTGCAGCCCACCTCTCTCCGGTCCACGCCGTGCCTGGAGGGCGGGTGGGGGGTTAAAATGACTGATGCGAGGGCCCCGGGCAGCGTTTTGTGTTTCAGAAGAGAAGGGTCACTGCAGAGAAAGTCCTGACCCCGGGTCAGCTGCGAGTCAAACCCTTTTTAACAATCAGCCGGCGGAACAAGCAGGTCTCCGGCGGACCGCAACAAGTGGGCTCAGGCGGGGGAGGGGTGGCATGGTCGCCCGGCGGGTCGCCAGCCAGAGCCAGATCCGGGAGGAGGCGCAGCGGCCAGTATCCACGGCCGCGTGGACCGGGCCTTTGCGGAGACTACTTGCGGATCCAAATCCCATCTCAAGGAAATATCTGCATTTCCCACTTTTGGGGTCGTATTTCAGACGGCTCCTCTGGATGGGAGTCTAGGTAGAATGCTTCCTTTTGCCTAAGAAGCCCCATTTTTAAAAAGCGATTCCATTTCCATAAGCAAACAACAACAATAAAACAAATC